TATCTTTCAAGATGAAAAATGTCGTCTTATGCGCAATCTATCTTTATCTATGGATTTAATCTATTTTTGAATGAAAAAAAAACATAAAAGTACTGTAAAATAAATAATATTTACTGAGATTGCAGAAAGATTATCACTTCCATACATGGTCCAGTGTTTAGAAATATTAAAAAGCCTAAATCTTTTTGACACAAACTTAATTTTCTAATCCCTATATCTCTGCAATCTGAGGATGTAAACCTTTGATATTTCAAACATAAACTATTTGAGCGAACAGAATTCGTAATTTGAAATACCAACGCGGTTTACATCACCAATCAGCTTGTTGCAAAGACAAATTGATTAAAAAATTAAAGTTTGTGCGAATTGTTCTGATTTTCTCTAAAAACCCTCCAAACCGCTCCTGGGTTTCCCCTGTATGTTAAGCTGCCCCTGAGCAGGTTGCTTCTGGTTTATATAATAATATAACCAGAATTACGACATTGTTCTAAATTGGTTTCCGTGAGAATTATCAGCTCACATGCTCAACTGAAAGTAAAAGTTGAAGAAAAAGTGTTAATTATGATCCTGTGAACAACAAAAATCTAAAGACCCTATAACTGCTTAAAAGTAGTATTAATGTTAATTTCACCATGCTATGAATCACAAAAAATAGATAAAATAATAATACGAAACATATATAATTAAAAAAGAAAAACATTTATGATTATATGCGAACAAAAACTTTTTAAAAATGTAAAAATATTGTGAGAACCAGAAAACTCTGGATGAGAGAGACGACCAGGGGCGTATTCAGGGGGGGCAATAAGGGGCTAAGCCCCCCCCCGGACCAGTGAAATCTATTGATTTTAGGGGGTTTTAAAGCCCCAGCGGGTGCTGAGCCCCCCCCCGGAAAGATAAAAATTAAGCCCCCCCTGGACAAATTCCTGAATACGCCCCTGGAGACAACTTTTAGACTCATGTTATGATTTTAAATAGTTCAATGAACATGAGGCACAGCAGTGCATTGTAATTAGGCCTTTTTTAAAAAAATAAGTGTTTAATATGTGTTTAATAAGTTACTAATAAAACACACATTGCTTTATAAATAACTACATGAAATGCGTTTAAGTACTGCTTTAATGTCGTCTTCTTGTTTGATGGCTCTCACTGTATGTTTTCAAATAATAAATGTAAATGTTATATTTGATTGTCAATATAATTGTACTTTGTTGTTCCTATTGATAAATACTAGGGATCTTATAGTGAATAATTAATATTTCAGCCTCTTATTCTCCAAACGCAAAATTCAATCGAACAGAAATTCCATAAAAATATAATTCAGCTTTTTCATTTCCTCCTCTGGATAAAAAAGATAAGTTATCAAATTGAATTTTTGTAAAAAAAATTACCAGAGAGAGAGAGAGAGAGAGAGAGAGAGAGAGAGAGAGAGAGAGNGAGAGAGAGAGAGAAGAGAGAGAGAGAGGCCTACCAGGCTTCTAAGCAGAAGTCGTATCAAATCTACTTTCGCCAAGCGTGCGATCCTTAGCGCCGTGAAACCCGGTGAAACCAACATTAACAATTCGGTTAGTTCGAGTCAGACGGAGATACTGCACACTACTCAGGACACACAGATAGATATTGATAGGATCTCGGAGTGACACAGGTTCGAGTGTGAGTGCTTTTATGAACCTAAAGAGTGATACTGAGTGTAAATGGATTTGTAGATATGGTTAAGAATGGAGACAGCTCCAGCACTGTATTCTAGTGAAATAATGCCTCCGCTGGAGCCAACCAAGCTAGTGCAGGGTGGGATGGGAGACAACATAAAGAAAACCTATGCCGAGCAAACAGACTCCGAGCTCGCAGAGCTCGCAACCCAGGAGATATCTCTTGATCTTCATGGACTTATTGACGATTCTCAGTTCCCGGACGATAATCTCTTTGGAGATTTGATAGAAACAGCGAAGAAGAATGATGGGAATCCCTGGATTAATATTGCTAGGGGAGGAACTCCAAGCTCCGGGTCCTCAGGACAGCACTCTCCAGGCTCAGAGGGACAAAACTCTCCTCCTGCATACGGAGGAGGAGGAGGATATAGAAATACCCTGGCGTACCTACCCGGTAGTGTACATAATGGAGCATCAGGGTACAATCAGCTACCACAGATTCAACAACAGCAACAACAACAACATCATCATCACTCCCACAACCAAAACATACAGGTAAACAAATTTAACAAAAAATGATTTATCAAAAAATATTTAATAATTCTTTTATTCGTTATAAAACTTGATCTGTTATGTCTGATAACTTTCCTTATCTTTTTCTCCATAAAATTTCCAACCGCAAATTAAACCAAAAGTCTGAAATGTGCAGGTTTCTTCAACTTTCAACTTATATTTGCAGTGTGCAGTGTGCAAACGTCATTATTGCGTCACAGTATGCAAAATATCAAATAGATACGTTATTTTGACATGCTTTTGCTTGGTTTTATGAACTCTAATTAGTTCATTTAAAAACAAGAAAATATTGTGCAGTATGTATGAAAAGGTTAATCGATACATGCAGTAAAAGTTAGAAATAATTTTAAAGGATAAATGATAAAACGTAAATCGAAGAAAAAAAGTTTACATTTCTTTAAGAAACACAGTTTAGGAAATCTTATTTTGTTTTAATTCAAACCCTAATCCTTCTCCTATTCCAGGTTAAACAGGAACCTCTTGAGTCAGATTACTCCAACTCCTGCTCCCAAGCAGCTGGGAGTACCGCCCCCTACTCCCTCCCCGCCTACAACCAGGCAACTGTATCCAGCTCCACCCACGACCAAATGTCCCCAGGTGGCTCCCCTGTCCTCCCCTTCAGTATGGGCGGGCCCCTACCCTCCCTTAAATCCTTCTCCCAGCAACCTAAGTACCTACTGCAGAAGAAGAAGTCTGGAGATAGGAGTACGGACGAATATAGGAAGAGAAGAGAGCGGAACAACGTGGCGGTCAGGAAATCCAGAGAGAAGGCGAAAATACGGACCAGAGAGACGGAGGAGAGGGTGAAGATACTAGCCAGGGAGAACGATAGACTTTCAAAGAAGGTTGAACTTCTCCAGGAGGAATTATCAGTGCTCCGGTCTCTGTTCTCCAGTGTTGGTGTCCTACCGGATCATGTTCATAGAGAACTCGCGAAACATCTAGATAATTTTCAAGCTCAACACGCGGCAATGAACTATTAATCAATTAATCCGTCCGTCCACCCAACTGTGATGATGAAGTGAAGACTCCATTAACGACAAATTCCCTGGTAGTTGAATATAAATATTTGATCATGTTTAGTTGGGTTGGTTAGGAACCAACCTCAGCTCCTAGTCCTCGTTCAACACTAACAATACATGATTATAAACAACCCGGAGCAGCTAATTCGACCTGACAATTATACATTGTCGAGAGACTTTTTTTTTATAAAACTGTGATACGGATATATTTATATATTCATGCTTCATATTCTATACTTTATGTATTATATAAGCCAAAAATTAGTAATATGTATGCTTCCATTTATCTATCTATCTATCTATACCAATCATCAGTTAAAGAATCTGTCAGCTGAGAAAGAACACGGTTGAGAAAAAAAAGACAAAATATTGTGAATCATTTTTAAAAGAAATTTTCTTTTTCTCTTTTAGCTGAATTTTCAAGCTTTCTAATTTCAAGTTCCTAAGTAAGTTAAATAATATGTATGTTATCATTTTGTCCCTAAAAGTTACATATATATTTATATTTAGGTTTATATGTACTTATTTTTTTATTAAAAAAGACATATTTATACAAGAATATAAATATATCATTTTTCATTTGTTTAGACCAAAAATCAATCGTAAAATGCAGATGCATCCATAGCTTAATAATTTTCATGTAGATTTTATTTCTCATCTAGTCTCAATATAGTCCAGGCGTGGTTTATTTGAACTGAAATATTTACAGGTTTTTTTTAGGATATATTGCATCCTATAATTTTGCACTCCGTAAACGAAACCGACAAAAATGTTGGTTGAAAGTTGTTACATTTTTTATTTTCTGTTTTAGTTTATTGATTGGTTACTGTTATCTATGAATATTTAGATTAACTCGTTTACTTTAGTATGAGTCATTCTTATAGTCAAATATATTCTTCTTTAAATTCTAGCTTTCAATCTTACAGAGAATACAGGGAATTCAAAAAGCATAAAAAACTAATTCTTAAAACTTTGTGTTCTGTTGTATTTGGAAGGAATATAAAAAAATCAGTTTGTTCAAGAATTGAGCCTTTGCCACAAACTCAAATGTTCAAATCTTTGTAACCTTAGATTTTTCAAACTTAGATTATTTGATTTAATAGAATTCATAGTTTTAAAAATTAAATGTCTACAACAAAAAAATAAAAATTAGAAAATCACAGTTAGTTGCGAAGAATCAATTCCTTTTAACCTGTATTTAAAGGGAGTGACCGGCTATGTAAGGTAGTTGAACTGAGTAAGCAGTGTTGTGGAAAACTTCTTTCGGATTCATTTAAGACATATTAAACTTTTTAAAGATATGTAAATCCTGAGTTTGAGCGCAAATTCGACGTTCAAAACTCCTACTTTGGGGGTGGATACGTTTTCAGAATTATTTAAAAAAAATTATTTTGATAATTTTTGGCTTTCTGATCAATAAGGAAAATACAAAAGCAATATATTCTTATTCCACCCCTTGACCCTATTCCCTCAAAAATGATGCGTTTCCCCTGAATTCTTTGTTTTGATCTCCTCCCACTGCAGTACACAGATTTGACGCATGAGATATGGCGGGTCCTGGTCTATATATTTCTTGCTCTCCACCAAAAAACATCAAAACTTTTTTATTCGCCTAATTTTGAAAACCACTTGAAATAAGAATTTCTTTTATTTCTACATATTCTGTTCTTGTTTTACAGAGTAAATATTTGTTTTTAAGAGGAAACATGGTTATGTAGATGGATACAATAATAAAAATTTGGATATGCATATAGATACAATAATGCAGGTTTGGATATACATATGGATACAATAATACAGGTTTGGATATGCATTTTAATACAATAAAACAGGTAAGGATATGCATATGGATAAAATAATTCAGGTTTGGATATGCATTTAAATACGATTAAACAGGTTATTATATGCATATGGAAACAATAATAAAGATTTGGATACATACGCAAAGGGATACAATAATAAAGATTTGGATACGTACACTAATGGATACAATGATAAAGGTTTGCGTACGTACGCTAATGGATACAATAATTAAGATTTGCATACGTACTCTAATGGATACAATAATAAAGGTTTGGATACGTACACTAATGGATACAATAATAAAGGTTTGGATACGTACGCTAATGGATACAATAATTAAGATTTGCATACGTACTCTAATGGATACAATAATAAAGGTTTGGATACGTACTCTAATGGATACAATAATAAAGGTTTGGATACGTACACTAATGGATACAATAATAAAGGTTTGGATACGTACGCTAATGAATACAATAATAAAGGTTTGGATACGTACGCTAATGGATACAATAATTAAGATTTGCATACGTACTCTAATTTATACAATAATAAAGGTTTGGATACGTACACTAATGGATACAATAATAAAGGTTTGGATACGTACTCTAATGGATACAATAATAAAGGTTTGGATACATACACTAATGGATACAATAATAAAGGTTTGGATACATACACTAATGGATACAATAATAAAGGTTTGTATACGTACTTTAATGGATACAATAATAAAGGTTTGGATACGTACACTAATGGATACAATAATAAAGGTTTGCATAAGTACTCCTAATGGATACAATAATAAAGGTTTGGATACATACACTAATGGATACAATAATAAAGGTTTGTATACGTACTTTAATGGATACAATAATAAAGGTTTGGATACGTACACTAATGGATACAATAATAAAGGTTTGCATAAGTACTCCAATGGATACAATAATAAGGGTTTGGATACATACACTAATGGATACGATAATAAAGGTTTGTATACGTACTCTAATGGATACAATAATAAAGGTTGGATACATACACTAATGGATACAATAATAAAGGTTTGCATACGTACTCTAATGGATACAATAATAAAGGTTTGGATACGTACACTAATGGATACAATAATAAAGGTTTGGATACGTACTCTAATGGATACAATAATAAAAAGTTTAGATACTGTTGTAACCGAGTTGTAAACATGGAAGATTCTTTTATATTCCCAATTCGAGGTGAATGAAAGGAATTTAAGAAGAAAAGAAACTAAAAAATATCAACGCATCAAGGCAACCCTTAATAATATTAAAAGGGTTCTGCAGACCGTTAATAACATTTTTTTCGCGGTTAGCCCCATATGTTTGTATGTTTAATGGTAAATGAAAAAAATGATTATTATTTTAGGTGACTAAGTCTGATGTTTTAATCTCCATATCTCTGCAATCTGTGCAATCTGTGATAGACCTGAGACATTTCAAACCATGAATTCTGTGAGATCAAAAATTCTAAGTTTGAAATATCTAAGGTTTATGCCATAAGGTTACATTACAATGATATAGGGATTAGAAAATTTAATTTTGTGGCAAAAACTCAATTTCTTTATCATTTGTCACATTAAATAAGGAAATTCATGTTTAAAATAAGGGAGTTTGATAGATTCACAAAGTAGAGAAATTCGTAGATTTCCCCGTAATGTAAACAAGGAAAAGGAAATGACACGAGGAAAAAACTAGGTCCAGGATTTCTATATTCATCGTATATCTATACCTTCGTTACAACTCAGCTCAAGGTTTAAGTCTAACAGATTTATTACATAAACGTATTTTGTAAGGAAACGTTTTGTAGCAGGAAACTTTTTGTCGCTGGAAACGTTTTGCAACAGAAAACGTTTGGTAGCAGGAAACGTTTGGTGGCAGGAAATATTTGGTGGCAGGAAACGGTTGGTGGCAGGAAACGGTTGGTGGCAGAAAACGGGCAGAAAACGTTTGGTGGCAGGAAACGTTTGGTGGCAGGAAACTTTTGGTGGCAGGAAACGTTTGGTGGCAGGGGAAACGTTTGGTGGCAGGAAACGTTAGGTGGCAGGAAACATTTGGTGGCAGAAAACGTTTTGTGTAGGAAATGTTTTGTGAGGAAACATTGAGTAAGGAAAAGTTTTGTAAGGAAACGTTTTGCAAGGAAAGGTTTTGTGACAGGAAGTTTTGTGTAGGAAACGTTTTGTGAGGAAACGTTCAGTAAGAAAACGTTTAGTAAGGAAATATTCTGTACTGAAATGTTTTGTAAGTGCTTCCTTCTCCTTCCTTCTCATTCCTTCTCATCTCTTTTTCTTCCTTTCTCCTTCCTTCTCCTTACTTCTTATTCCTTTTCATTTCTTCTAATTTTTTCTCCTTTCTTCTCCTCTCTTATCCTTTCTTCTTCTTCCTTCTTCTTCCTTCTTCTTCCTTCTCCTTATTTCTCCTTCCTTATCCATCCTTTTCCTTCCTTATTCTTCCTTCTTTCTCCCTTCCCTTTCCTTCCTACTTCTTCCTTCTCCTTCCTTTCATTCCCTCCTTACATTCATTCCCTCCTACGTTTTCCACTTTTCTTCTTATTTCATCTTCCATCATCTTTCTTAATATTTCATTTATTTTCTTAATCTTTCTTCCCCTTCCTTAGGCTTCCATCTTCTTTCTCAATCTTCAATCCCCGTTTTCTTAGGCTTCTATCTTTTTTCTCAATCTTTCATACCCTTTCTTAATCTTCCATCTCCTTTCTTAATCTTCCATCTCCTTTCTTAATTTTCCATATCCTTTCATAATTTTTACTCTCCTTTCATAATCTTCACTCTCCTTCATAATCTTCACTCTCCTTTCATAATCTTCAATCTTTTTTTAAATCTTCCATATTTTTTCTTGATATTTCATCCTCGTTTGTGATCTTCCATAATGAAGTAAATATATTTTCGTTTACTTGCATATATCTTACTTCTTTCTTAATCTTCCATCTTCTTCCTTAATCTTCCATCTTCTTTCTTAATCTTCCATCTTCTTCCTTAATCTTCCATCTTCTTTCTTTATCTTCCATCTTCTTCCTTAATCTTCCATCTTCTTCCTTAATCTTCCATCTTCTTTCTTTATCTTCCATTTTTTTTAATCTTCCACTTTTTTCTTCCTCGATTGTAATATTCCAAGTTGAAAAAAATATATTTTTGTCTATTTGCACATGTCTCTCTCTCTCTCTCCCCCTGAGTCTAGCGGAAATGAGGACCGGAAGAGAACTTTCCCCCGGTTTCCCCTAGAGTTCATGAATGCCTGGTTTCCCTAGGTTCTCAAGGCTAAACGCAGGGCTCATGTCTCTCGTCTACTCTACAAATCTTCTTAATAACAATTCAAAATATTTTTTTAAAAGTATTAATCTCTGGAAAATTTTAAAATAACACAACTCCTGACTGAGTTAAAAGTTTCAGTAGTGTCTGTAGTGATGAGTATCCATCCTACTTGTAAAGGTTTGCCAGATTCTCTCCAACCTCTGCTTGCGCCTGGTGCACTGCGCCGGCCTACTGCACTCCGCCGGTGAAAGTGGAGAAAACGTCTTCTTTATCAAAACCTTCTCTCCGTACACTAAACCTTAATCCATCCAAACTTTCTCCAGGACAACAGAATCTTCTCCGGAACTAAACTTGATCCGCCGCGAGGTGCTCGATAAACCTAGATATTTATTAAACCAGAACTTGCTCCGATCCGTATAACTATATTTAAAACTGGAGTAAGCATACAATATTTTCGAACCCGAATCAAATAAGCTATGGTATAGTTCTTCAAACAGAGAGAATAATATTTTGTTAAAAACTAGAACGATCAAACTATAGATTAATAACAATATAGATAGGACACTAGATGTTGTCTTTTCTAGATTTAGTTACGCACATGCTGCGTTGAATGACAAAACGAAGAGAGAGCATTTGCGTAACTCCCAGTTCTTCAACCTATAGATTTTTGTACTTGTTCCCAGTTATAAGTAAGAGCTCATACTACTAAACGTGCATATTTTATTAACAAGAAAAGAATGTACTTATATGTACTTTGTCCTAAACTAGAGTTAACCGTAGTATTTTTCAACCTAGAGTAATCTGTACTTTTTTATCTAGAGCTTGATATCTACCTTTTTCTAACCCATAATATAAACTTTTTTTCCAATCTTAAAAGCATATGATTTATCGGGCATGGGAGTAGGACACATACAAGTTCTCCGGTAGGGAGTAAGACGCATACGATTAATCAGGCGGCATGGGAGTAGGACACATACAAGTTCTCCGGTAGGGAGTAAGACGCATACGATTAATCAGGCAGGGAGCAGGACGCATATGATTGATCAGGTAGGGAGTAGGACGCATACGATTTCTCTGGTACGGCTCAGGCAGGACGCATATGATTAATCAGGCAGGGATAAGACGCATACGGTTTATCCGGTAGGGAGTAGGACGCATATGATTAAATAGGTAGGGAGTAAGAAGTATACGGTTTATCAGGTATGGAATAGGGAATAGGACGCAAATAAGTTTCAGGTTAGGTGTAGTATGCATACTATTTATCAGGTAGGGAGTAGGATGCTTTCGATTTATCAGGTAGGAGTAGGAATTAGGGCGCATATGACTCACCAGGCAAGGAGTAGGATGCATACAATTAATCAGTTAGGGAGTAGGACGCATACATTTAATAAGTTAGGGAGTAGGACGCATACATTTAATAAGTTAGGGAGAAGGACGCATACAATTAATCAGTTAGGGAGCAGAACGCATACAATTAATCAGTTAGGGAGTAGGACGCATACAATTAATCAGTTAGGGAGTAGGACGCATACAATTAATCAGTTAGGGAGTAGGACGCATACAATTAATCAGTTAGAGAGTAAAAAACATACAATTAATCAGTTAGAGAGTAGGACTCATACAATTAATCAGTTAGAGAGTAAGACACATACAATTAATCAGTTAGGGAGTAGGACGCATACAATTAATCAGTTAGGGAGTAGGATGCATACAATTAATCAGTTAGGGATTAGGACGAATACATTTTTATCAAGTCAGGAGCATATTAACAGAGTGTTTATTATACAGGGTGTCCCAATAAACATGGCAATTAAGAGACGAATTCGAAATCGTCTTTGTAAAGAATTAGCGTTGTATTACCTATTTCAATTGTCAAAATAAAGTTACGTCTGATATAGTATAGTTTATGTAAACGGAAAGAAAGTTTAAGAAATAAGAAAAGGATCAGTATAGAAATATATTGAAAAAAAAGAAGGAAGGATATGAGCTGTTATGCTATTATTTTTAGTCATAAATGTAACTAAAACAGGTGTTCCAGAAACTCTTACTTCACGTAACCTGACGCTGTTTGACCAATAAATATTGGCGCTCCAGACACAATTGTACTGCATGTATTTGCTGTGTCCTTTTTTTAAAAAACTTTTTAGGGTCCTTTTCAAGTCTTGGAGAAATAAACATAAAATACTGTTAAATGGGACGTTTTTTAGCCGAGTCATGACTCAGAGAAAGTGGTCAGGACTCAGGAGCAAAGATGACGGTGTAATTTATCCAACCCTTTGCCCCGTGTTATTCTTAAACCTAGAGAAAGGGAAAGGTAAAGAATTCAGGTCTGCACCACTAGGGATGGGGTGCAAGGACGTCATGAGCACCGCGAAATGGTCTTAATACAACTGTACATTGAACACTGTACAGCTTGTTTAAGACTGTACACTTAACAGTGTACTGTGGAATCAAATATAAGGTTTATGATGCTAAGAGAAAATAATTGAGCCTTTGACGCAAACTTAAATGTTCTTTGCAACCTGATGGCATAAAATTATAATATTTCAAGTTTAGATTATGACATTTGGTTGCAAATTAATATAAGGATTAGAAAATCATGGTTTGTGGCAAAGACTCAATATATTTGTATAGTTTTTTACTAAAAATAATTGATTTGAATAAACCAATGATACGTACTTATGGAACTCTAAATCTGATGTTTTATAAAGAAAATTTGACGATGCTTTACTAACCCCGGTTTATCCCTGTTCTGTACTTGACTTTGCAGAAATGATTGTATAATAATAAATGTGGTTAACGTTCAATTAATAATTTCAATATTGCAAATCATATTCCCTTCTTTAAGAATTAACACACACCCCCTTTAAAGTCTTTTAAATGTCCATAACATATGAAGAATATCAATGACATCAGTGTAAACGATGAGAAAGATAAGATTGTCAAGATATGATTTAAACTTCTTGAAAACCACCAACCTTATCTTCAAGACAGTTTTATTAGTATAAGGAGTACTGGGTATACATAAAGAACTACTCCAGTTTAGTTCTCTCCTGTATAGTTTAGAACTACTATAGTTTAGTTCTCTCCTATATAGTTTAAAACTACTCCAGTTTAGTTCTCTCCTGTTATAGTTTAGAACTACTCCAGTTTAGTTCTCTCCTGTATAGTTTAGAACTACTCCAGTTTAGTTCTCTGCTGTATAGTTTAGAACTACTCCAGTTTAGTTCTCTCCTATATAGTTTAGAACAACTCCAGTTTTGTTCTCTCCTGTATAGTTTAGACCTACTCTAGTTTAGTTCTCTCCTATATAGTTTAGAACTACTCCAGTTTAGTTCTCTCCTTTTATAGTTTAGAACTACTCCAGTTTAGTTCTCTCCTGTATAGTTTAGAACTCCTCCCCTTTAGTTCTCTCCTTTATAGTTTAGAACTACTCCAGTTTAGTTCTCTCCTGTATAGTTTAACACTACTCCAGTTTAGTTCTCTCCTGTATAGTTTAGAACTACTCCAGTTTAGTTCTCTACTTTATTGTTAGAACTACTCCAGTTTAGTTCTCTCCTGTTATAGTTTAGAACTACTCCAGTTTAGTTCTCTCCTTTATAGTTTAGAACTACTCCACTTTAGTTCTCTCCTGTATATTTTAGAACTACTCCAGTTTAGTTCTCTCTGTATAGTTTAGAACTACCCCACTTTAGTTCTCTCCTGTATAGTTTAGAACTACTCCAGTTTAGTTCTCTCTGTATAGTTTAGAACTACCCCACTTTAGTTCTCTCCTGTATAGTTTAGAACTACTCCAGTTTAGTTCTCTCCTGTAGTAAAGAAACAGTGATGAGCATGTTTCTAACCTTTCTAAAGGTTTTAGAGAAGTGTGGGAAGGTTTCAGAGAGGGATTGAAGGATTGATTTAATCTCTTTAAACTCATCATCCGGATTTTCTTCATCACGTCCTCGTGTCAAACGGTAATTGTGATCTTTCATCTAAATAAAACAATGACAATTCTATTATTTCAGAATGAAACTGTATTTTAATACCAAACGTAATATAAATTGAAATATTGAAATATTTGGTTAAATTTCCATGACAAACATCAGCTGAAACGAATAAATCTGTATACCATTTAGCTCTAGACTATGTATAGTTGGAGAAGGAAGTATTTGCGTCTATATACAATCTAGCTTTTGGCTTAGTTTGCGTAGGACAAATATACACACCTTTATTTGATCATATACCCTTCAGTCCTACTCTGGACTGTAGTTGGAGTAGGACGGATACCTGTATATACCATCTAGCTCTTGACTGTAGTTGGAGTAGGACGGATACCTGTATATACCATCTAGCTCTGGACTGTAGTTGGAGTAGGACGGATACCTGTATATAACATCTAGCTCTGGAATGTAGTTGGAGTAGGACGGATATATATCTGTATATACCATCTAGCTTTGGACTGTAGTTGGAGTAGGACGGATACCTGTATATGCCATCTAGCTCTAGGCTGTAGTAGGAGTAGGACGAATAATGTAGTTGTTTATAAGGAGAAAATGGGATATTTACCTGTCTAAAATATCTAGCTCTTGATTGTAGTTGAAGTAAGACGGGAAATTTTTTTTAATATCACCTAAATAGCTTAGACCTAAGTAGGAGAAGGACTGATGTTTACCTGTCTATACCATCTAGCCCTTGATTGTAGTTGAAGTAGGACGGAAAACTTGCTTTCTCTCTCATCCTCCAGGTTCTCTTGTTGTATTTTTAGCTCCTCAAGTCGGTCAGAACACGATACAACTGATAATTTCAAATTAATGAATGAATAAAATAAATGGTTTTAAGAATAAAAAAGAATTAAACCTTGAAAGCCAATGCAATGAAACTAAAGCAAAAGGAATGAATGAGTCTTTGCCACAAACCTAAATTTTTTAATCCCTTAATCTTAATACAATATGCATATAGTGTAAGCCGAAATATTTCAAACTTAGATTATTTGATATAACAAAATTCATGGTTTAAAATATATAAGGTCTACGACTTTGAGTTCCAAAGAAATATGGGTTAGAATATTAAAGTTTGTAACAAAGAATCAATTCCTTTTTTAATACCTTCAGATCTTCCTTCCTCTAGTTCTTCTTCTAGTTCCTTCCTTCTCTCTCCACACTCACTAAATCATGGAGCTTATACATTTATCATGGAGCTTATATATTTATCATGGAGCTTATATATTTATCATGGAGCTTATATATTTATCATGGAGCTTATGTATTTATCATGGAGCTTATATATTTATCATGGATCTTATATATTTATCATGGAGCTTATGTATTTATCATGGAGCTTATATAATTATCATGGAGCTTATATATTCATCATGGAGCTTATATGTTTATCATGGAGCTTATATATTCATCATGAGCTTTTATATTTATCATGGAGCTTATATATTTATCATGGAGCTTATATATTTATTATGAAGCTTATATATTCATCAGGAGCTTATATATTTATCAAGGAGCTTATATATTTATTATGGAGCTTATATATTCATCAGGAGCTTACATATTTATCATGGAGCTAATATTTTTATTATTCTGCACTCTTTTATGACAGGATCAGCAGAAGGTATATAATATAGACTTCAATTAACACCTTAAATATACTTCACGCTGAGTTAACAGTTCGGTCATTGTCTCTCTGCAAGCTGTCACTCTTGATCCCAATTTGATTAATGATACATACATTTTTAGTTGCTTTTCTTTGGTATTTTTTTAGTCCATGGATGCGTAGAATTAGACAACTCTGTAAGTTACAAAATTGTTAAATTATAGAAATTTAATTGAATTCAAATTGAAGAATCCGACCCCGTCTAGCCCTGGTTAGTCCTTTTTGTAAACAAAAAGGAAAACATTCTTTTTCATAAGAATACAATTGTTTTCTAATGTTATATTTAACGGTAAAGCTGCAAATAAAATTGGAAAAATATTCTTTTCCAGCGATGTTCTAAATAACCCGGAATAATTTAAATGGATTTGTGACTAAAAGTCGTCTTTGACCTTAGAATCAGCTTGCGGCATTCATTAAAGGTAATTCCCAACGAGGTAGTAGTGTATAGAGTGCTGATGTACGCTAATCCTTTACTAATTTTATTGGCCAGGAAGTATACCGAGAGCGTACTGCATATTTGTTTATTATAAGTTGATTCTGGCCTAACCTATAGTATATCAATATTAGTAAACAGTTGTAAGTCACTCTCAAAAATACCAAAAATATTAAGAAATTTGTTTGTTTTGTGAAATTATCGTCTTCGATCCATGCGCCATTTTTTTATAAACACAATTATTTCAGTATTCTGTATTCCTGATTAACTACAAATTATTGAAAACGCCTGGTCTTGAGATTTTCAAAATGTGGTCTACCATTTTTGTATCTTCAAAATTGACGGAGATTTTGCTAAATTTGTAAAAAATTTCAATTCAATTAATGAGTCAAAATTGTCTTAATATCTAATATCTTCGTCAACTTTTGAGACACGAGAATGGTCTACAGACCACTCTATGGTATACAGACCATTCTATGGTATACAGACCACTCTATGGTATACAGACCACTTTATGGTACACAGACCACTCTATGGTATACAGACCACTCTATGGTATACAGACCACTCTATGGTATACAGACCACTCTATGGTATACAGACCATCTATGGTATACAGACCACTCTATGGTATACAGACCACTTTATGGTACACAGACCAGACCACTCTATGGTATACAGACCACTCTATGGTATACAGACCACTCTATGGTATACAGACCACTCTATGGTATACAGACCACTCTATGGTATACAGACCACTCTATGGTATACAGACCACTTTATGAAAAGCTCATAAGACACACAGCCTAGTTTTTATACTCTTTTTTTTAAATGAATTAAGTATCAGAAATCAAAGACGACTTCCTAGTCATTTTTCAATTTTATTGGGACACATGATTATCTCTTGACCTATCTGTGTACTCTGTGGATTTTATCTAAAAATTGTTTTAAATGCTCTAACTCCACAATATGCAACAACAACAAAAAACTATTACATCTGCGTTATCTGTGGAATATACAAAAATTCTTTTAAATACTTCAACTCTACCTGATAGATTCATGCATTCTTCCTAGAGAGCTTTCAACCTTTCTCAGAGCATTCTCCAGATTGTTTATCTTCTTACTGAGCTGCGTCTTATCCGACTTCTCTTTTCTAACCTCGGACTTGAGGGTGGAGGTAGCGGTCAGCCTCTCAAACAATGATTCTCTCCGGTACACTGAACCTTCCAACTCCGTTAGCCTCTCCTTAGACAACCTGGAGAGATCCTTGAGCTTTTGTTCAAAATAATGAACTTCGCACTTGAGGTTTTCTAGTTCTCCGCCCTTTGTCTTTTCCTCTCCTACATGGCTGGCGGTGTTCTGACAAGATCTAACCTTATCCTCCCATTCTCCTAGCTCCAGGTCTGCACTCCGTACTCGAGATAGAGAAAAATGCTGAGAGGATTCAAGAGCTGTGATCTCCTTCTTTAGATATTCAATCTCTTCTTCGATCTCGGCGATCGTGGCGATGTTCTCCATAATCTTTGCATTTCTTCTCTTGGTGAGATCCTGATATACAACCGTATCATCTGCTTTCACTGAGTTTAATTTTCGTATTCTCACATCTAGGTTTTCCAACCTTTTTCTTATCTTCAATAAATGATCTTGTAAGTTTCTAATATCGTCTTCGTTTTTCCTTTTCTTCTCAAGTAGTATTGCATATTTGTTTTTGGACTGTTCTAGTTCCTGTCTTGCTTCGTCCTGTTGCAGGTGTATCTTGATCAACTGATTCTGCTTCTTGGTCCACTCCTTCCTCTTCTCTCCGCAGTACTTGGAAACTAGATCTATCTCCTCCCTACACCTAGAGATAGTAGCCTCTAAAGGACTAGTTTCCTCTCCTGCTCTTCTACTCAGCTCAGAGAACTCCTTTTCAGCATGGTTGATCAAGCTCTCTACCTTCTCGATAGAGTTGGTTGTATTCTTCAAGACGGAGCTGATCTTCCGTTCCTCCTCCTCCAGCTGAGACGTGACAAGGTTTAGCTGATCCCGTCTGTGTCTCTCCATCATATGTTGGAGTTTCAGAGATTCATTTTCCTTTTCTAGTTCACTCAGCCTGTTTTTCTCATGTTTAAGTTTTACGTCCGTCCCGGATATCTTCTCCTTGAGATCTTGGATCTCCTTATCTGCTACACTAGAACTCTTCTCGTTAGATATCTGATTTCTTAAACTTTCAAACACTCGACCTTCAAGTTCTTTTTTCTCAAACTCTAATTGAAGGATTGATTCCTTAAGCTTTAGGTTTGTTTTCTCCAAGGATTCAAGATCTGATTTTACAGTGCTGAGGGTGGATTCTGTATCCATCTGAATTTTCCTCAACTTTCCCAGCTCCAGTTTTACTCCTGCTGTCTCCTTTTTATTCTTCTTTATATGCATCTCGTTCGTCCCACAGAACTTCGTAATCCGTGCGGATATCCCTGTCACCATTTCATGTTCAGTCTGACAAGCAACAATATCCTCCTTGGTTCGATCTATTTTTGATTTAACAGTTTTAAGTTCTGTTTTCTGGAGATCTACTCCAGCCTGAAAGTTTGCTAGAGCTTCATCTCTCTTGTTGATGTTGATGACAGTGTTGGACCAGTTAGTAAACATTTTCTTTTTCTCAGCCTTCACAGTTGCCAGCTCTTCCTCAGCCCTCAGTAGATTCTCCGAGGTTTCAGAGGTTGAGGACTCCATAGCTTGGGTTTGGGATATACACTGCTCCAACTGGATTGTACACTGCTCCATCCGATCATTCATCTGCATGATGTATGCATCCTGAACCTGCTTCGAGTTCTGAACCTGCTTTAGATCCTCCTCTGCCTTGCTTGCGTGCTGCTGGTCAACTCCGATCTTATTTTCTACCTCCAGTCTTCCCATCTGTACCTGGAGTAATCGCGTAGCAGCGCTGTTCATCCTCTCCAGTCCCGCATCATTCTCCTGCAGCTTGGCGTGCACCTGGAGCTCCAACCCTGCCAAGGTTTTCTTTAGCTCCTGGTTCTCATTCTCTACCTGGATCCTGGCCTGTTGCTGCAGGGTTAACCTTGATGCTGTCTGTCGAACCTTCTCCTCCTCTAGAACTAGTTTCCTTTGCTCAGCATGAAGAAGATATCCCGCAGTTTCAGCAGATTTTCTCCTACAAAGTGTTATTAATTGAAAACTGATATTTATGGTTTCATGGAAAACTATTGAAAAATATTCCAATAAACTAATTGAGCATTTTGCATTAAAGAACTAATTTCCAGACAATCTATTTATCTGGAAGCTGTCGTTGTAATTTCAAGAGATTCCATTCAAGAGGGGCATGCCTGATTCACAATGGTATCCTATGAATCTTTGCCTGATCAATAATGTGAGATATATCGTATTTTTTTTCTTCAAAAAGGTTTAATTTTGTAGAAAAATTACAGAGTTAAGGGTACCGTACATGTGAATCAGACATGCTAACGTATCTGTGGAGGGTCACTTTTCTACTTTTCTACCTACTGTCTACAGTCCTTTTCTACCTACTGTCTACAGTCCTTTTCTACCTACTCTCTACAGTCCTTTTCTACCTACTGTCTACAGTCCTTTTCTACCTACTGTCTACAGTCCTTTTCTACCTACTGTCTACAGTCCTTTTCTACCTACTGTCTACAGTCCTTTTCTACCTACTGTCTACAGTCCTTTTCTACCTACTGTCTACAGTCCTTTTCTCTACCTACTGTCTACAGTCCTTTTCTACCTACTGTCTACAGTCCTTTTTATCATTATTTAAAGAATTTTCCTAAAGAATATAATTCATATTTTTTCTCTTACTTTGCTGCTAAAACCATTTCTGTTTCTTTTATTCTGGTTGTAATGATATCCAGCTGTCTATGCAGCACAGTTCTAACAGCAGCTTGGAAACCTGACAGTTTCTTATCCTGCTCCTCGTCCTCCATCTTCGTCCTAGAAAAAAGGTTTGAAATAATTCAGACTTGATTTCTCTATGTGAAGTTCAGATTACCTTGTTAGTTTTTTTCAGTCTAGGTTTTTTATTTGTTCCCTGCCCTCTCCCATGTTCAAACCCCCATTCTTTAATTCAAATAAGGGTTTTGCAATACAATTTTCACACATTTTTAATAACTTTTTTGTATGGTTTTGACAGTTTAAGGTATTTGCAATTCTTGGATATCTTTAAAAACTTCAATTTAAATTACCGATATTTTTTAAAGAATAGACTTTCATAAAATCAAATAAATATGAAAGTATCTATTTTTAAATGTTCTTATTATGTTCTTGCAAAATGGTTGAATTACAAATATTTATACGATCTTTCGTTAAGAAATTTAAAATTCCCAATATGGGCATTATGTTAACAATTTCTAGCTAGGAATTTAATTATATTTAGGACTTAAAAGTATCAGTCCTCCTTTTGATCAAATTAGTACTTTAAGTTGTAAAGTTTAGGAAAAGACTCGCGGAAAAAAAATAAAATTACCCGAGATTTAGTTTCATGGTTTCATGTTTTTGCCATTTTTCATCATAACCTTCATCCTCTTTTCCCTTCTCCTCTTCATAATCATATCTCCAATCATCTTCTACTACTTCTTTTCTCACGTTCTCCTTTTCTTTTGTTTCATCACATTCTCTCACATTATCTTTTTCCTCTTTACTCTTTTCTTTTTGATTATCAAGATCAGTGCTATCACGTGAATCCATTTCTGTGAGTAACTCAGTTTAGAAAGAGCTTTGTAAGTTTGTAACTAACATTCCAATATTTATAATACAAAATTATCGATAAAACATATGAATGTGTACTCGATAAACTAACTCCCCAGATTAAATGCTTTTTAAGAGGCAACGAATTTTTTTTATTCAGCGTTGTTCTTAATGTTTAAATAAAGGTTACGTTTTAAAAAAAGAATTCATATTGTTATGTATATATTAATTTTCTAAGCGGAGTTGTCGTCTTCGAATTTACCGTATTGAACGGTTGTGTTGGACCAATGAGAGGTCTACACGCTAGGTATACAGTGTACGAACACACAGCAGACAACTGTTTAGTGGAATTTGGGCCGGAGACAGGAGTACAGGAAGCCGAACCTGAAACTTTTAAACAACAAATCTGCTCAATAAAACTATTGTGAATGATCTCATTAAACTGTTAAACCAAATTTACCTGCAGACATTGTAGTGCGGGAACCTAGAACTATGAAGAACTCTTTCATCTTTTTTCTCATTTTAGCCGTAGAGGTGTTTTGTAGGTAAGGACTAGAATTTGTTTTACTAAGGTTTATGAGAAGGATATAATGGATTTACCAAGGTTTAAGGGAAGGATATGATGGGTTTAATTCTAGACAACGATTTTGGACCGCCGGCCCCCCCCCCTTCCTAACTGTTTTGTACATGAACACTTGTTTTTCAGCAAAATTATTATTAGTTTTTATTATCTTAGGGTTAGGGTAGGTTAAGACAATTTCTGGGCCAGGCTAGGGGTCCGAGCGCTGCGGCTAAGACAGGCTAGGAATTTCATAATTTAAGTTTTATTAAAATATTAATCCGATCCTTACGACATGATTATTTACATCGTTAGCTGAATATATTTTATTGTTTCCTGGGGGCTTAGCACTCGGTTTGGCCGGGAAAACTACTGATCAAGGGGGGTCTGAGCCCAATTCCCCCCCCCCCGTATATTTACGAAGAGGGTGATGGGGCGGGGTTAGGGTAAAGAACCATTTTAACTTGAAATATTTGAAGTTCTTAACTCTCTGGATTAAAATCGTTTCAATTTTACTGTTAGCCCTGTAGCCCCCCTCCCACATTATTTGCATTTTAAATTTTTTTTATTTTGACTATTGTTTTCAGTCGCGACTTCTATGGTATCCTTGGAGTTGGGCGCAAAGCGTCAACAAATGAAATCAAGAAAGCGTACAGAAGAATGGCAAAGGAAATGCATCCAGATAAAAATAGAGATGACCCGAACGCAAATGAAAAGTTCCAAGACCTCTCGGCCGCATATGAAACTCTCTCAGACCCTGACCGCCGTAAAATTTATGACCGAGGTGGCGAAGAAGCGTTGGCAAAGGATGACCGTAATGGTGGTGGCGGTGATCCCTTCTCCAGCTTCTTTGGCGGCGGTGGAAGTCCGTTCGGCGATTTTTTCGGATTCGACGGCGGTAACGGCGGAGAGAGAGAAATCCCCAAAGGAGCAAATATTGTCATAGATCTCTGGGTTTCACTGGAGGAACTTTATTTAGGAAATTTTGTCGAGGTAAAGGGTTTAAAAATATGATTTATGTTCACAAAATATTTAATTTTTAATAACTACAACATAATCTCAAGGGATCAAATTTACTCAATAGCGAGAGGTAGTTGAACTGTTGCTTGTACATCAAGTTTAACTAATTCCCTTGAGCTTGAACTGGCGCTCTCATTAAATGTGGTCCAGGGCATATATTTTCAAAACTCAAATGTTTTCTAGATGACTAATAAAAACCCAACGGACTGTTTTTTGGTGGGTGCATATAAAAAACCAGTGCTTAGGATCCATTCAAATTTGATCCGGATCCGTGATCCGCACTGAAAAAATATTGATCCGGATCATGATCCAGGTCATTTCTTTAAGATTTACTTAATTTTTTTAACAAAAAATAACTTAAAAATTTTTTTTCGCTAGTTTTTGTCCTAAACTTTATGAACCATTCAGAAATGCGGAAATTTTTATAATCTCAATTTTTTTTTCAAAAGTTCAGATTTGGTTTTTAGGAGTAAAAAAAAAGTTTTTTTTTACCCTTTGGATCCGGATCCAGGAAGCCAAAAATCTTGTGGATCCAACGTCTCCCGGATCCTACGCACTGAAAAAACGACAATTTTATTTTCAATTTCCACTGTTTTCTAACTGACGCCAAATATTGTTATTATCAAAGTATTTTTGTTGAAGCCAAAAAAAATATTTTAATACCATTCTTAAAAGTTCGGTTTTTATAGTTGACGCAAAAACTCCATTTTTGATATCTAAATGTACTTATAGTTGACGCACAACAAACCTGTTGCTAAGCCTGCAAAGGGTACCCGGAAGTGTAACTGCAGACAGGAAATGGTGACAAGGTAATAATCTAAATAAATAAATTCTGACAAAATCATAAATTAATACTTTGTTACCCTTAAATAATTAAAAAATTTATCTTATAAAATGTCGCTATGTACATATTTAGCTTGGTAACCCATCGATACCCAGGTTACTAAAAGTTACTCCTGCACGAATGATTTTACTGGGAAACTGAATTTTCCCTATTTAAGTTGACCTACTCAGCTTAGAATCAAAACCAAACTAAGAACATTCCCGTCGGTCTCCCGAGTTCCCCAATCAAAATTCGAGGCAAATCGGTGCAGGGTTCCTAAGTTATGATTGGAAAAACGGACAAACAAACAGAGATAACAAATTTAATTATATAGATATATATATATATGTAGGGTTTGAAATTTTCTCAATAAAACAATTGAAACAATTGCAAATTATCAAATCCTTATCGAAATTTCTAAAGTAACTTGAGAACTAAGATGACAATCAGTCAAACGTTGTATGGTTTTGCTATTCTATATTTGTATCAAATGCGAGTTTGCGGACGAGATTGAGACAAGAAATAAAAATTATCATATCAAATTTAATCACACTGTTAAATCCTTTTATCTTTATTCATCATTTTTTTTATAGCTTATTGGCTAATATATCTGCTAATTATTACACTGCACCTGTAAAATATTTTCATCCCTTCAATACAGAATATAATAATTAGACATAGAAGACGACTTCTTATATTTTATTTGATCGCATCTTATAAAATAATCTTAAAGATTATTGTTGTGAGTAATTAACTTTCAAGTCATCGTTCAATCTTTTGAATAAAATATGAAAATAGAATTTAATAACAAATTACAAATTTCCTTCTTAATATAATAATTTCGGAATAATTTAATTTTTCAGATCTCTTGGTCCTGGCAGGTTCCAGATGACCCAACAGCAAGTTTGCGACGATTGTCCTAATATCAAGTAAGTTTTTTACGTTCCAAATTAGTTTAGGAAGGGTAGGTTAAGTTCCTTATAAATAGTTGACAAGGAGGTTTTGTTCCTAATCAATTGTTGAACGGTATTTTAGTTCCTTATCAGTACTTGACGGATTGGTTAGGTTCTTAATCAGTGGAGAAAAGGTAGTTTAGGTTCCTAATTAATAAATTAAGGGTAGGTTGGGTTCTTCATCAGTGGATGTGGGTAGGTTGGGTTCCTAATTAATAAATTATGGGTAGGTTAGGTTCCTAATCAATAAATTAAGGGTAGTTTAGGTTCCTAATCAATAAATTAAGGATAGGTTGGGTTCTTCATCAGTGGATAAGGTTAGGTTAGGTTTCTAATCCATAGATAAGGGTAGGTTAGGTTCCTTATCAATGGTTCACGGATAGGTTAGGTTTCTAAACAGTAAATTATGGGTAGGCTAGGTTCCTAATCAATGGTTTATGGTTGATTGGTAGGTTAGGTTCTTAATCAGTGGAGAAGGGTAGGTAAGGTTACTATTCAATTGTTGATGAATAGGTTAGGTTTCTTATCAGTGAATTATGGATAGGTTAGGTTCCTAATTAATGGTTGACGGAAAGGTTAGATTCATAATCAATAAGTTAAGGGTAGATTAGGTTCATAATCAATGGTTGATTGGTAGGTTAGGTTTCTTATCAGTGAATGAAGGGTAGGTTAGCTTCATAATCAATGATTGACTGGTAGATGAGTTCCTAATCAGTGATTGACTGGTAGGTTAGGTTCCTAATGAATGGTTTCTAAACCGAATTAACATGCTAATCTTTTCTTTGAAGTTCAATTTTTTTCAAGTATTCTTCGAATTTGTATTTATCTCTGAACACTGTTTTGGTTTCCCTTTAAATTTATTTGTTTTACCATCCCAGAAGTTTAACGTGCAATAATAAATTCCTGAAAAGCTGCAGCTAATGTCAACGTAAATTAATGAAAATTAATGTCATGATTACTTGCATGTTTAAAATTAACTCTTTTTAAATTGATATTTACGTATTGGAAGTCAATTTTTATAATTGTTAAATATCTTATTCATTTATGAAATGGAATGCCATGATTACTTGCGTGTAAACAATTAAAAAAACTCTTTTTGATTTGATATTTACGTATTGGAAATCAATTTTTATAATGTTAAATCCCCTATCATTAATAATTAATTAAATATTGTACAAAATCAAATGGCAAATTACCTGGTTTAAAATGTATTATTGATTTATTTATCAAGTTCAACCGACTGGAAAATTTAAATAAATTGTAAAGAATTCTCTTGGAATTCATTTCCGTCTTGTTCCATTTGGTTCGGAAATTAGGCTAAACGGACCGGGTTTAATTTATCCTGGAATAAAACTTCTCTTGTTTGTAGATTCGTGAACGAAGAGCATCACCTGGAGGTGGAGGTGGAGCCGGGTATGATGGACGGGATGCAGCATAAATTCGTCTCCGAGGGGGAACCTCATATGGACGGAGAACCCGGAGATTTAATCCTGGAGATCCGAACCTATCCGCATAAAAAGTTTGAGAGAAGGGGAGACGATCTCTACACCAACGTAACTATCAGTCTGGTGGACGCCCTGCGAGGTTTCGAGATGGACATCGAGCATCTGGACGGGCACAAGGTCCACGTGAGCAGGGAGAAGGTCACGTGGCCCGGAGCTAGAATTAGGAAGAAGGGAGAAGGAATGCCGAACTATGAGAATAATAATCTGTTTGGAACTCTGTACATCACCTTCGATATAGAGTTTCCTAAGGGTGAACTAGATTCTGCAGATAAGGAGAGGATTGCTGAGATATTAAAGCAGGGAACCATTAATAGTGTTTATAATGGGATAGGAGGAACCAAGAGCTGAGGACACTACTATGTGATATTGTTCCTTCACACCTTTAGATCAAGTTGGTCCCGAGCCTTGACAGAACATTTTGAAGATTCAGGCTCCTGGCTCAGTCATGGTGAATTCTCATCATACCTTGTGATAATATGTATAAACACTGTTTAGTTGTTATAAATCTTTTTACTGTAATTAATTTTTTAATTTTGATCGTTGATCGTTCTAAGAATTTCGACAAATCTTAGCCATGATACCATCCTCGAAGAAGAAAATGGGCAAGTTTGAAAATCGCACGAAATCAGTTACTAATCAATTTTTTATATTTTACTAATATTTAAAGTTAGGGAAAGCCGATATACACCTCTGCCTCTTTAGGAAAAGTAAATTCAACCTATATGAACCATAAAGTCTGAACGCGTCAACCTTGTTGCACCGGCTAGTCTTTTCCATATAGTCCATAGAGCTAGGTACAGTGCAGACCGGAAAGGTTGACCCGGCTCGGAAATTCAAATGTACTACGGCTGCCCGTGTCTTGGCCAAGTGCTGTGGCTGGGACCAGCTGTAGGCCAGATTAGGCACAGAACTTATTCATAATGATATATCTTGTGCTTAAGACTCGAGCTCGAAAACTGTTTCTTAAAAAGGGGGTGGGGAAGGATGAGGATTGAGATGAGAAGAGGATGAGAATTAAGATGAGAAGAGGATGAGTATAAAGAGAGGATGAGGATCGAGATGAGAAGAGGATGAGTGGTGGTGTGTAGAGCTGAAACCTGTTACTGGAGGTTGGGAAGGAATATTCTCTCCAGGTAGTCTCTATATAGAGTCTACCCCTTCAGTCTTCAGTATATTACTCAACACGGAACATGGTTTAGAAATATACTAGCACTCAGGATTGTTTAACTTATCACAAAGCTCAGCAATTACTTACCTATGTGACGAATCAAAACCCTCGATTTGGACTGAAAGCTTCGGGTTTTCAGTATTTTTGATAATATTAATAAATGAATATTGGGAGGTACAAACCATTAGGATACATAAGGGATAAGTGTTTGTTTTAAGAGATGTACGTGGAAGGAAAACATGATGTAGGCAACTTGAATCATAAACAAATCTGGGGGCTTCTGTTGCAACTTATTATAGCTTTGCAATGTCGTTTATCTTTAAGAATTATGTAAAATCAAATAAACGAAGTTTGAAGTATAAAAGTTGAATAGCATCAGGTTGCAACGATATAAGTTATGCCTAATTTAATTAAAACAACTGTGAGTAGGTGTATTAAATACAAAGAGAACAATTTCAAAAACGAGTGGTTTAAAAAATATGAACACTGAGGTCAGTATCTGCCAATTTGACCTCCAAGGGGTCATTTTGGAGGTCAAATGATATCAATGGAGCACCCAAATCGTCTCGGGTACCGGAATAGGGGTTAATCCAAATGGTGAAACTATTTTTATGTCTCTGCACTATTGACCTTTTTAACCTGAAAGTGGTCATTTAGAGGCAGGGAATAAGAATAAAGGGAAGGGAAATGGCGCTGGTCTTGCTTGAGAACTCCAGTCGCACTGCTTTGCAGACGAGTTCGTTATAACACACGCAGACTCTTTTGGTGCAGACACACAACATGACTAGAGTCAAGGAAATTATTATAATTAAGCTTGAATAACGAGTAGTTCATTGTAAACTCTAATAAAATTATATTCTTTGCATGAAAATTTGGCTTATAGTGTTGACTTAGACTTATAAATAATATATTACAATGTATATTAAACTTATTTTTAAGTAAACAATTAACAATAAACAAATGTACTCTCCTTAACTGTGCTACAGTACACGCCTTCGGTTCGGTAATACTTACACACACTCTTTTGGTACAGGCACACATGACGTTTCCGCCCCCTGGGCACGGAAGTAGAAAAATTCCACAATTTGACAAGTGTCAAAGTTACTGTATTAGTTGTGATTAGTTTAAGATTGGGATTTTTTTCAGAATTGATGAAAAAGTTTTATTAAAAGCTCTCAAATAAACATGGGAATTAAAGGACGACATTAATATCTTCTTTGATCCATGCGGCATGGACCCAAGTATTGCAGTATTCCAGCTTAAACATCTAATATAGAAAACGCCTGTTCTTGAGATTTTTAAAATGTGGACTATCGTTTTTGTACCTTTGATATTGACGAGAAATATTACAAAATTTTTCAAAATTCCAATTTATTGATTAAATAAAAATTGTCTTAATATTAAATATCTTTTTCAATTTTTAAGACACAAGAACGGTAGACCACTCTATGAAGAAAGCATAAGACTTTTTACACTATCTTAGTCATGCAATAAATATCAGAAATCAAAGACGCTCAATTCCCATTTTTATTGGGACACCCTGTATAACGAGAAACATTTAAAAAGGAATGAATTCGCCATGGGTACCGTTAGAAGCCCCATCAAAATAACTACACCATTTTTGGCCTATTTAACTCCCTAATTTCTTAAACCTATCTTAAAAATTAATCAATAAAAAATTCAGACATAAAAATGGATTTTACAGTCAAAATATTCATGATTAAGGTAATGATTTTTTCGTAATTTCAGATTTACAAAACATGTTTTATTATTTTTTGCCCAGGTGGGTTAGATAAAAAAGTTTTGTTGATAAGGCGAGCTTTAGATTATACCAACTGATTTCAAAAAGAAAATTGAAAAAAATCATGATTTAGTACTAAGCGCGGGTAAACGGTGGGATTCTATGAGCCAATGACTATGAATTACTTTATAAACCTGGGCAACACCAGGCACTTCAGCCAGTGATAAACAGGGTAAAATAATGTTCAGTATTTTGAATATGTTTTACTATAATTATTAGTGTTCTTGTTTTTATTTTTAAACCCCTCCTGTTAAATTCAGTCTAAATCTTTTACATTGCAAGTTTGTAAACTTTGCTCTGCTCTTCCAGTGACCAGAAATTCTTCTAAATTCTTTCTTTGTCCGTTCAAGTTTCTTCCTTTTCGTTCAAGTGCCCTTGTTGTCCGTTCAAGTTTCCTTGTTGTCCGTTCAAGTTTCCTTGTTGTACGTTCAAATTTCCTTGTTGTCCGTTCAAGTTTCCTTGTTGTCCGTTCAAGTTTGCTTGTTGTCCGGTCAAGTTTCCTTGTTGTCCGTTCAAGTTTACTTGTTATCCGTTCAAGTTTCCTTGTTGTACGTTCAAGTTTCCTTGTTGTAGGTTCAAGTTTACTTTTTGTCTGTTCAAGTTTACTTTTTGTCCATTCAAGTTTCCTTCTTGTCTGTTCCAGTGTCCTTGTTGTCTTTAAACTTGCTTCTTGTCCGTTCAAGTTTCCTTGTTGTCCGTTCAAGTTTACTTTTTGTCCGTTCAAGTTTACTTTTTGTCCGTTCAAGTTTACTTGTTGTACGTTCAAGTGTCCTTGTTGTCCGTTCGATTTTTTCCTTGTCCGTTCAAGTTTCCTTCTTTTTCTTAAAAGTTTTTATTTACGTTCTAGTGTTATCCTTTTCCANAAGTTTTTATTTACCTTCTAGTGTTATCCTTTTCCATTCAAGTCTCCTTGTTGCCCTTTCAAGTTTCCTTTATGCGTTCAAGTTTCTTCTTGTCTCATTAAGTTTCCTTTTTGTCCGTTCAAGTTTCCTTCTTATCTGCTGGTGTCGTGTCCGTTCAATTTTCTTCTTTTCCATGCAAGTTTCATTCTTGTCCGTTTAAGTTTCTTCTTGCCCGATTAAGTTTCTTCTTGTTCATTCAAATTTCCTTCTTATCTGCAGGTTTCGTGCCCATTCAACTTTATTATTCAAGTTTCATTATTCTCCGTTCAATTTTCGTTCTTGTCTGTTCAAGTTTCATTCTTGTCCGTTCAAGTTTTTTCTTGTCACCTTAAGTTTCTTCTTGTCCGTTCAAGTTTCAGTCTTGTCCGTTAAAGGTTCTCCTTGTCCGTTCAAGTTTTTTCTTGTCCGTTAAAGTTACTTTGTTGTACATTAATTTTCACTCATAGTCAAAAAGTGTCGGTATTTTTCCATTTTTGCCCGATCAAGTTTACTTTTTATGCGTCCAAGTTTCCTGTTGGCCGTTCAAGTTCTACTCGAGTCCAATCAACATTCTTCTTGTCCTTCCTTTTTGTCTGTTTAAGTTACTTTTTGTCCGTTCAAGTTTTTTCTTATCAATTTAAGTTTACTTATTATCTGCTTAAGTTTTTTCATTATTCTTGTTCGTTCACGTTTCTCTTAATTTGGATGAATATGGGAGGGGGTCCCATATATTTTTTCAATAGCCCTAGGATAATCTGTGTCAAATCTATAGAAATATCTAGGTATAATTACGATTAGCCTTGTAATAGTTATTATTGTTGTAATATGTAAGGTTTCCTTGTTTTCTAGCAGATCTCATAAAGAGTGTTATAAGGTGCGTAGGAGTAAGGGTTAGTGGCTAGCTTGTAAACCCTCCTGGAGAAGCAGGGTTTTATTTTTTTCTCTTTAAAACCATCTTGCTCATCCTTCTCCTAGGAGTATCTATTATCTATTATGCAGCTGCCAGAACCCTACCCATCTCTTGTAAACCATCTTGCTCATCCTACTCCTAGGGGTAGGTTTTAGTTGCTCTCTTTTAAACATTTCGATTATCCTCCTCCTAGGAGTAAGGTTCAGTTGCTGCCTTTATATCCATCTTTCTCTTCCTTTACAAAGGAGTAGGATTTATTTGCTCTTTTTCGAACCATCTTTCTCATCCTTCTTCTAGGAGTAGGGTTTATTTGCTCTCTTTTAACCCATCTTGCTCAGGATCCTTCTCCTAGGAGTAGGTTTTAGTTGCTCTCTTTTAAACCACCTTGCTCATCCTTCTCTTAGGAGTAGGGTTTATTTGCTCTCTTTCAAACCATCTTGCTCATCCTTCTCCTAGGAGTAGGGTTTAATTGCTCTTTTTCAAACCATCTTGCTCATCCTTCTCCTAGGAGTAGGTTTAGTTGCTCTTTTTCAAACCATCTTGCTCATCCTTCTCTTAGGAGTAGGGTTTAGCTGCTCCCTTTCAAACCATCTTGCTCATCCTTCTCCAAGGAGTAGGATTTAGTTGCTCTTTTTCAAACCATCTTGCTCATCCTTCTCTTAGGAGTAGGGTTTAGTTGCTCCCTTTCAAACCATCTTGCTCATCCTTCTCCAAGGAGTTGGATTTATTTGCTCTTTTTCAAACCATCTTGCTCATCCT